CAGTTTCACCGAACGTCGCTTAACTATAAAATAAATTAAATTATAAGATTAAAGTTAAGCAAACGTTTGGTGAAACCAAGATCCTGTTTCACCAATGTCGTTCAACTTTGAGCTTAGCTTAATTCATTCTTGGTCTCTTCCCAACTGTTACTCTGGAAAGACAAACATAAACTAAACTATTAGATTAAAGTTAGGCGACGTTTGGTGAAACCGGACCTAAGGGGGATGCACGGGGACGAAGCGAGAGGGTTAACGCGCTCAACGAACTCCGAGGCACCTGTTCACCATGTGTGTGTATGTGTGCAGGCGTACGCACACGTTGTACACCAAACGCGCGCGCTTTGTTTCCCTAACGGTTAATTTTACGAAAAATTCTTAACTATCATACAAAGGCTTACGCAATTATATAGTACATGTACATCGTTACGTTAGAAACGTGATACAGTCTCTCGTCGTTTTGTCCCGCGCGGTCGCTCTCTCTCTCTCTATCTTCCTTCCTCCCTTTCTCTCGCTGTCATCCGCCGATTCCTCCGCACACCTTACGTCACACTCTCGCCAAGGATAATTATTAATCCTAATCTGACAGCCGGAGTCGACTTTTTAAACTCGAAATCGATCTTTCCTTTATTCTCTCATGCGCGCGGTCGCTCGTCTCGCGTTCTCCCGACGCGTCTCGATACCGATTTCCCGTCAAATACATTTCACGCGCTGTTTATGCCCGTGGTTAAGAATTTACCGCGGCAATCCGTTTCCCCGAGTCGAGAGGCTCGATCGCGCTCGATCGGCGATCTCGCCGAACCGCGGGTCTCGCCGGGAATCCCAAACACTGTTAAATTGCACATGCTGAAATTGCACCAGCCGTGTTCGCATGCGCACGCGATGCGCGTCTCGTTAAATATTCATATCCGAAATTAATAATTTAAACGATGTTACGGATCATCACTCCGCAAATATCAAATAACATAATTATATTTATCATGAATGCATTATTGAACGAGAGTAAATTGCAATTTGGTTTACCGCGGAAATCGATCTGAAAACAAGCAGAGTTTATAAGGATTTCCTTGCGTCCGAGAGTCGTCGATCGTGAATGCCGAAATAAAGGAATTTATCACGCGCGTCTCTTTTTCATCTCTTTATAAGAATTAATCGCTGCGCTCCGTTCGAAAACGTTTGCATTAAAATCTGAATCTCATTCGCCGCATATACGTAACCAACGCACTCATGCACGTCGAGTCAGAGTGTAAAACCAGTTCCCGTTGAATAGGTGCTCGGCTAAGGTGATTAAAGGGACAATCGCGTGCGCCAAAGCGCGAGTAAGGGCCTGAGCAGGAAGATTGCTGTAACTGTTTATGATTCCGTCGTAAGACGTAAGTCAGTGTCGGGAGTCAACGCACAAAGAGTTGTCGTATGTCGCCTCGCGATGCAATAGATGCGAAGGATGCGACTTACGTCTACGACAAGTTCGACACCGATTTAAATCCTACGACGGTATCGTAAACGGTTAAGCCTATCACACAATAGGAAAGCACAGGCAATAGGAATAAGGAATAGAAATACGGAATACACTGTGAGAGATCAATTTTGTTGAATCAAACGAAATAATTTGATTGAGTCATTTTGTTGATTGGACATGTAATTTGGTTATATAAAACGAAAAATATGCTGCTGAAAAGAAATTAAACGTTACAACTATTTTGTTTCCACGAGTTGTTTATTTGAACAAAATTTTATGGTTGAGATAACAAATTCGTCCATCTCATCACGTCCTAAATAATTTGTTGCGTCGACTAAATCGTTTAGTTAAATATTATAAAAGGATTCTGCGCATGTTGACTTAACCAAATTTGTGTGTCGATATGACCAAATGTACCAACTAAATTTTTTCGTTGTATCAACTGAAAGATTTGTTTGCTCATATCCAAACAAGAAATTCCATTGAGTTAACTAAATTGTGTTTCATTCAACAAACTGGGTTTCTCAGTGTAGAAACCTATGTGATGCCAAGACACAATGATTAGTTGGCAATATGAGTGCTGTCCAATCATCTGCTTTTTGAAACCACGTGCCTGTCCCAAAGTTTCAACTGTGATTGGTCAGGTAGGTCAGGTACAGGGAATAGGGAACAGAAATCCAACGCGTCGGAAATTCTGTTCCCATTGCCTATTCCATATTCCATTGTGTGGTTTCTAGTAAGTTGGAAGTTAGTTATTTCTGTTGCCTCTGTATTCCCTATTCCTATTGCCTGTACTTTCCTATCGTGTGATAGGCTTTACGACAAACTCTCTGCTCAAGCCCTAACGTTTCTTCCCGGACGACTCATGAATCGGAGAACAAGATCGCCGCGAGTTTCGCAACGGTCCGCGCGAAATATGTATTTTAACGAACGAAGGATCGCAACGCGCTCGTCATTCACCAGCAACCCCAACCTTGAGAGACTCGCGTTTAGCCTTGTGCGTCGTAAGCTCAGAACTGTCGCTCGCATCTCACTGACGTCAGGACTGCGTCGTATGAACGGCGAGAAAAAGTGTCGTTAAACCCAGAGAGCGGAAAGACGAGAAAAAGAGGAAAGACCGATTGTTACTCGTGTGCCACATCTAAAAAAAAATTGGTTTCGAACGCACGTGGCGCGACCTTACTCGAGATCGGGCAGCGACACGCGAACGGCTCCTGCAGCGACAACTGAAAGAGCGTAATCGCGAATTGCCGGTTAGAGCAGCGAGGAAATAAATTAAGTCAGTACAACCGTCGTAAATAGTGATTAACACGTTGAGTGCCACATTGTTGCTCTCCGTTTACCGATCGAATCTCGTTAGGGTGGCATAAGTACAAACTCGCGTACAGTAATCTACGCCAATTAATACGTGCATCGTAATTCCGGCGTGACTAAAAAAAAAAACAATACCTACTTGACTTCACCGCTGAAACTGTAACACGCGACTATCGTAAAGCCAATCCACGTTTAACAGGCGTGAGGTGGCTGTATTTTCTCCCGGAACATATTCCGAAAATGGAAATGTGAGAATGAACAAAATGATTTGTCGGTAATTGAGCATTTAATACGAGTCGCTCGCGCGCAATCTCCGATCGTTCATTATCTTCGGTTATCGCTTGAAACTTTTACCTTTCCCCGCAGTCACGATCAGTCGTAAGTAACAAGTGTCTAGGCATTAAATCCCCTCGATAAGATACATCGCCGATTAGCGCGAAGGCGTTTGTGCGTATACAGGATATTCAATTACTATAATGTATTTATATGTACATACACGGCGCACCCGAGTGCCTCCGCATTGCGTAGAGCAACAATCGGCGACGGTAACGGTATCTCTGCACGCGCGGAATCAGCAAATCGCCGGCCGGCACTCCACGTGTTAATAGACGCGAGAATTGCAGGACGGGGAAACGGAGACTAGGTTTCGCGCAAATGAGCCAGCTTGCGAAAAATGAAGCGTGGCGCCTACCTAACGAGCTATCGGCAGTGGTAGCGTACACGACCGGTCCCAAGCAAAGCCGCCAGTAAAGCGCTGCACGCGCGTGAATCGTTGAGACCGGCCGATACATTTTTTTCCCGATCGACTTCCGGGACGTGGCGCAGCGACGACGGACCGCGATCATTTTCCTCCTCGGTCTCCGGACCGAATTAACGCACCTCGCGTGCAGTCATCGTCTCTCGACGAGCATTTCTTTCTTAGCACTTTCGCGAACGCGCACGTCGCGACGCGATACTCTCCATGTCCGCCTTAATTCGTTCTATTATGGTCGGATTGACAACTTACGAGATAACGCCGCTGAGAAATTAGATAAACAAACTATACCTACTGTGCACGCTAAAATTACACGTACAAAATAATCGGGTGATACTCCTTCGCGGATTAGGGTCGACTTTGGAGATGAGAGGATAAAAGAAATCCAAACTCGCGAAATCCACGCTCGTGTCGCAACGCGTGTCGCAAAGCTCGTTCTCCCTGCGTTCTCCAATCGTTCAACCTGAACTGTACTCAGAGCTGTATCGAAAACCCAGCATTCTCGTCCACACGGTCGTCGGAAGGAGAACAAGTATCGATCGTAAAACGGCCCCGAGGCTTTTCACCCCTTCTGTATAATACGTTAATGTATAATGTACATCAATAATTATATATTAATATTACGTTAAGACTGTATTATAGTACTATGCCGATATAATATTAATGTTTAATTAAGATTATATATTATACATTATGTACCATTCATAGGGATTCTTTTTCGCGGGGCGATACCGTCGTGGAAAGAATAGGGCTATTGATACTCGTCCCCGCTGCACACCTTGCATTCCTCGTGCAAAGGAGAAGAGGGTCATCGATACTTTTGCGAGTACACTCTATCTACGACGAGATTAAACTACATCGCGCGCTTTACAAATTATTCATTCGTCACCTCGATATATAACATAATTATACGTAATTTTTACACACACACATATATATATATATATATATATAATATATATTTCTTTATCTACATTCGTTAGTATAAATCCCAGTACGCCTAAGTTCCATATCACAAAGACATGCCGTTCGGTATCACGATTTTTCTTTCAATCCGCCGATCGTCCCAAACCCCCTCGAACTTAATCGACCTCGCCGCCGTTCGCTGTGCTATCATTGTCGGCTGCATCGGCGCCCCTCTCGCCGCCTACTGCGTGTTCTCTTTCGATTTTTCTTCTCTCGTCACGTTTCTCTCCGTCGTCGTCGACTCGCTCATCCACGCTCGGCTCTTAGCTGCCCGCCCCGCGCACGCGGTTTTGTTCGCCTAAATTTAGCGGTTTCGCGTCGTCAGAATCATCGCGAGGCGCGCGGTCGTATTGTTCCGAGAGCTGTTCTGGCGAGCGAATCGCCTGACGATCACAAGACGCAAAGCTTGAAATAACTCGGGGGGGGGGGGGGGTGACAAGGAAATGGTAATTAAAGCGCATTGGCGATTAACAATGGTTAGCGAAGAAGTGATGCATACTAGTGATTCTAGATTGTGACCAACAATATATTTGCATCTAAATGAAATTATTACAGCAAGAGATCGTTCATTGGTACCGGCTTGAATCCAGTTCTCGTTTGTCTTTTCTTTTCGTACAACACTCTTATACATTTTCTCCTACAAATAAATATTCACAAAACGTTCTGTCGATTTCCAAAAAGAGTTACTTGGTAAAAAGTGTTTTGTTTCTGACATGCTTCTAAAATATTCATGGGACAATCGTTAGAGCACAATAAAAATAACTACTCAAGTTGCTCCTTCCTTACAGCGAAAATTAATAATTAAATAAAAAGTTTTCAATTTACAGTCAATTACAGTTACAAACGACAGAATAATTTCTAATGTTTGACTGACAACTATTGACAGGTGATGAATTGATGCTACGGGTGTATTGAAACGGCTTTCACATAGAAATTATTTACATTACGTAAATACTATCAATGCGAATCATTGCAAAAATATATGCGCTCCTTTTTTCTGAAAGCAAATATAAAAATCTATCTCATCGTTTTACATATATAAAAGCCGCCCATTCAATGGCGGGTGTACAAGGGGATCCGACAATAATGCGGAACTAAAACGGCCGTAGGACACTGGAGTCGTTCACCCCGCGCGAGCACGGGAAATCCCTTTTATTTTCGGACGTGGTTCTTTGTCGCGCGTCCTTTAAACCGGATTTTTCGCTACAGAGACGTCGCGGTCCGCGAGACCCAACTGAACGAACGTGCCTGTCAGGGAGAGAAGGACGTGAAAGACGGATGGTGCGTGAAGAAGCGCGAGCGAGAACCGCGAGCGATAGAAAGCCGCCGCTGCACACCCGGGCGTTTCTGTCTCGATTAAGTGTACGCAGCGAATAATGAGGCATCGAGACGAGAATGCACGGGCGGAGGGGGAGGGCGGGAATTAACCCAGTTAGCCGAGAAGAAGCCGAGAGAAGTTAACAAACCGGGCGCGATTCTTCTCGTCGTAAATTGCGCGTCGCGCCGTTCATCGTATCGGATTAAACGCTAGACTGTGTAAAGTAAGCGGGATACAACGCCAGCCCGTCAAATGCGATACTTTCCCGGCGTTTCCCCGGTTCGCCGTACTTGCTTTTAATCAAGACCTGTTTCAGAATCGACTGAACTTGGAGTTTGGCTGAAACCATAATGAGTGTTCATAATTCATCACTAATGGATCCGTGTAATGAGCAATTTGATGCAGGGAAGGCAGGCTCCCTCTATCTGTTCCCTACTAGAGCCGCATAATAAGATCTTTAATTACAATAATAAAGACGGAAAACAGGATAATGAAGTAGAAGCGCATAATTAATTACAACAATCAAACGAATTAAAAAGAAAATACTTTATCACTCGTTTCGACGATTGCGAAAAAAGGTTGTAATAATTTGCGTAACGCGTCCGATTTTAATAGACTAAAAAATTAATACTAATATCTAAACGCATACAGTACAGAAAAAACATATAAAATAAAATTACAAGAAAATTTGTAAAAACTACAAAGCGTACATTTGTACAATGTTCTTCTTCAAGTGCTAATCGATTTGGTCGATCAGTGAACCTTTTGTAAACGGTTCGCGCGATTCTCGCTCGAACTATTGTCGCATCGGCCGACGGAAATGCGCATTTCGGGTATATTCTCTTCCGGTCCGGAGAGAAAAAAGGAGAGGACGAGCGTCTTTATGATCAGCGGTAGATTGTTCTATTCAATCGAGCCTCCTCGTCATTAGATCGCGCCTATCGCGAGCGAATCGCTACACATGTGCCGTCGCCGTCGTCGTCGGTGACATCGCGACACGACGATATATCTAACGTGCTGCATCACGTACGACCTATCGAGCCGTCGCGGTTTCCCCGGGCTTCCCTTGGCACAATGACCCCCAGGTCATCCGAACTACTTCCGCGCAACCATCGCGGCCCGCGAGAGACAATCGACGACGATTGTGCATTACTTAATGATGACTCGCGAACCGAGACTTATGTAAATGCGAGTCAATCGACGAGCCCGTTTGAACTCAGCTGACTTCTGTTTGCGATCAATCCGACACGGCCTGCCATCTTATCTCCGCTGAAATCGATTGTGTTGAGGAAAAATAAATCGCGTCGATGGGGAGAAACGAATGACTCGCGTATTGCATTGTACATCGCGATCAATTACCAATCCAATGGTAAAATTTGTCTGATACGCGTCTGTACTTATCCGTCCCGTTAATTAGTCGTTACACAGACCTCAAGTGTCTTTGAAAACTTGGACTTTACGTTTTGTTCGAGCAAAGTGTAAAGTCTAGCTTCGCAAAGGGACGTGAAACAACCGGACGCTAAATAACAGTCGTGTTGTGTCGAGATCGACTCCGCGATTTAGAAACTCGATAACAAGTGTTTTAAGACGATTTAAGACATACAATAGCGCGGTGAATCGTTCTCATACTCCATTCACGAGGATTTCTGACGCTTTACTAGAGTTTTCATGGTATTGTCGCAGCGAAAAAATTCACCTCTTACCGAAAAGCGTATTTTCACGGCGGAGACAATGGCAGCGGGAATAAATCTCGAAACGAGCGGACGAGAGAGCAACGCGAAGCGACGTCGCTGGAGGTACGTGGTACGATTTCGAGGATACCAAGCAACCGACTATGTAGCGCTAGACTAGACGTGAGGCGTGAAACCAGTTATAATATCAGTGACGAATCCGCGAAAATGAGTCTTTCTTCGCTCAACAGTTTTTTTTTTTGGACTCGTGAGATTTTTCTTGGAAAACGTTATGAACGTTTGCCTGTAAATTTTTAATGAACGCTCCATACGAAGTGGCGCATTTCATAGAATACATCTCGCTTCTTCTCACCAGATTATAACCGACTCGCGGCCCGCATCGACAACTAGCCGCATCGCGACGAACGTACGCGATGCGAATCACAGTGGTGTATCCGAGATCGATGATGAGACAGGCTGCCCTTTCGACCGCGAGTAACCCTCCTCGACGTTAGGGGTCGAGGTAGCGCAGCTCGGACGTCGTCCGAACGGCAGGCAGCGAGACACAGCCGAGTTTCACATTAGGTGACCGGGACCGAATCATCTTTGTTTCCGCATTACGCGTTTCCTCCCGTCGGCGAGGAAACCGCGCCGATCATCACGTGACAAAACGCTCGTCAGTAGCGATACTGAAAACGGCAGCGAGCGAGCGAGCGAGTAGGAGGCAGGAGAAAAGGACGATTGACGTTACGTCCTGGCCTATTGTCTCAGCTCCTCGAGGATCTCCTGGATCCCCGGCTGGAACGAGAGCACCAACCGGCTGGAGCTGCTCGAGGAGCCATGAGAGCCGTAGCTGTCGTGCGACGCGCCATTGTTATTGTGCTGCTGCTGCTGCTGCGTCTGGTGTGTCTGGCGAGCGCGCTGCGACTTGCCGGTCGTCGCACCGTCGACAGAATTGAGCGACTGATGGCTGCTACTCTGGTTCGACCGATGGCTAGCGTGCAATTGGGACTCGGACAGACAACCGTAAGATCCGAGAGGATAGGGATCGAAGATCGTCACCGGCAACTCGCTTGCGCGCTCCCTCTGCTGCTGACGTTCGGTCTTGCTCGCGGGAATGTCGCCGCTCGACGCATTATTACCACTCTGCAATTGATTGTTCGTTTTGCTGGAGCTCCTGCTACTGACGGAATTGAGCGACTGATGGCCGCTACTCAGTCCGCCCGTCGTGCCCCAGGTGCCGCCGTGCAGCTGGGACGCGCCGTACGCGTAGCTCGCATAAGCGGACACCACGTCCTCGACCAAACGGTTTCCCCTCTGCTGACCCGTCGTCTTGCTCGCGGAAATATCGTCGCTGGTGTTGTTGCCCCCCTGTAGACTGTTGGTCTTGCTGGAGGAGCTCCTGCCACCACCACCGCCACCGCCGCCACCACCGGTGCCACTGATAGAGTTGAGCGATTGGTGACCGCTACTGCTCAATCCCCCTGTTGTGCCCCAAGTACCGTGTAATTGGGACGCGCCGTACGCCGACGCGTAACTCGCGTAAGCGGACACCACGTCCTCGACCAAACGGTTTCCCCTCTGCTGACCCGTCGTCTTGCTCGTCGCGATGTCGTCGCTGGCGTTATTGCTGCTCTGCAGACTATTGGTCTTACTGGAACTCCTGCTGCCGGACGCGGACGTTCTCAGGGTGGGACCGCCGCCGGTGGTCGCGGGCTGCGCCGACGTCACCGCCGGTAGCGTGTCGTTCTTATCGCCCGGCGGCCTCGGTAGTCGCCGGCGCAGCCACGGGTGCCTCAACGCCTTGTTCGGCGTCATCCGACACTCCGGCTCCCACACGAGGCAACGTCTGAGAAAGTCCAGAAACAGCACGTCGTCGCAGCCTTTCAGGGCTCGCTCGAGATCATGCGAGCCCGGTGGACCGCGCAGCTTCCCTCGTCTCGATAGACCCCCGCTTAGCACTGTCGTGCCGTCCGGCATTGCCGTCGCGGTGCAGTACTTCGGGTAGCCCTTCGAGCTGATGAACTGACGCGATCGTTTTGAGTTCTGTAGCAGCCGCTGCGGCGGCATGCCTAGCATCTCGATGATGCACGCCAACTGGTCTGCCTCGTCCTCACCCGGCAGTAGCGGGAAACCGGTGAACAGCTCCGCCAGGATGCAACCAAGGCTCCACATGTCGATCGGCATCCCATATCTCGCACCCAATATCACTTCCGGCGCGCGGTAGAAACGACTCTGGATATAGGTGTATACCCGTTGATTCTCGTAGCAGCTGGAACCGAAATCTATCACCTGCAACACGCGGAGGGATCTCGTTAATGCAATCAATCAATGCAGCTTCGATAATGCGATTAGTATCACTTGCATACTTTAATTGGACGACATGCTAGATCGGGAAACAATGTTTCACACGCTGCGTGTGTAGTAAATAAATTTTGGGGAAAATAATAGTGTTTTGTAGGAAAACACAGCGATATTTTCAAATGTAAATTTTGTTTTACGAAAAACAAAACTCACTTTCGAAAACAAAACTGAAAAACTCCTTTCGGAGAGGGAAAACTTCTGTTACGAAATATGGAATATCTATGAATGTAGAAAATCTGGAATATTCATGGGGCACAGAATTATGAAAAAGTTGCTGTCACAGCTCGCTGTGTCCTAGCCCGACGTGACGCCACAACTGTACACATCGTTGAGACGTATTCATTCGTGAGAATCGATCAAGTTCGTATAAAGCTCGGGGCTCGTTAATAATTTCTGACGTGCAAGTGGCGGTAGAGTGGCGGCGGCGGTGGAACGGGGTGCACCTCGGATACACGCGCTTTCAAATATATCTGTTTCCAGTTCGTAAATGATGCACGTGGCCCACGTAAAGTAAGGCGCGTGTATCGTTTATGGCGCACCTGGCAGCGAACGTGTCGTAATGATGGCCCGATAATTTTACCTCACGTTCGCCGAACGTAACACCGTTTCAATCACAACGTGCCTCGGTAAGCACCGCACGATCGCACGCTGAAGAGGAGCACGTTCGTATCGCAGCGCGACACTTGAACGCATCCTCTCGCATAAAATATTTCTTTAGTCTGCGCGATAGTATTTAATTAATGTATGTTGACGCTAAAATTATCTACACGGAAAGAAACACGTAGCTAAAAACTGCTTGTGGCAACTAAATTTCAATTGTAAAATGTGGACAGCTAATATTTAGTTGTGGTAGCTAAACACTTTGCTACTGTGTCTATTGTATTAGGTGCGACAGCAAACCGCTTGCTGTAGTTTAGAAATTTATAGTTATGGCAGCAAAATATTTTTAGCAAACTATAATTAGCTACGGCAACAGTTTTTTTTCAGTGTACTAATAAAATTGCGGAGAATGTCAGAGTTTCCGGCACAATAAACACGAGAATCTATTTCTCTGCTTGCATCGCTTGAAACGCGATAATTAACTTTTCGCACCGTACTCTATGGTCTATTTAGTGTTTTCCAGCTTCTATTTATGACTTGTTCGAAATCGTCAGTAGTATTATTCTTGATACTTGGGACGACTGGTGAAAGATGGGCGAGACAGATTAGCCTAGCGAACGTCGTGCAATTCGATAATCCGTGTCTTCTGGCCTACTTAAATATTTCGGGTAGCATCGTCCCTTTCGCGTGTGTAGCGAACAGAAACAGCATGTTGGAGATTGTCCAGGGATTCAGCTCGGCTCGCTTTAGATTTGACTATTCGGTCGCGGTGCGCGATTTCAATGAGCTATAATTTCCAACGATCAATACCCGATGCGCGACCCCCAACCAAATCTCCGCTTAAAAAGTGTCTTCGTGGATCAAAGAACCGAGGTACCAAGCATCGGCACGAACACGTTTATTAACGATATCGACGGCTCTGAATGGGAAAAAGCTTCCCGAGCTTAAAATCGAAGCGAAAGTTATCTCTTCTACCTCTCATTTTTGTTTGATGAAATATAGAATCAAACCTTTTCGGAATCCCAGCACGGACGGAAATTGAACTCTTTTTATGTCCACAGAGAGTGTCTTATAGATCTCCCGCATCTTTTTTCGCGAGGGAGAAACCGCTGAGGGCATCGTGGTGTACAGATTTGCGGCATTACTGGGAATTACTAGGCATTCTTTGGGCATTAGTTTGGACATTAGGCCTTGTTGGGGCAATATAAAGATAAAATAAGATAAAATAAGATAATGAGATAAAGTAATGCCCACTGGACATTAGTGGGCGTTGGTGTACAAGACTTTTGGCCAGCGGTTCCTTCCTCGTTTTTTCTTAACTACCACCAAACATAGAAACGCTCGCTCCAACAATAACACGATCTATAAAACGTAACAACAGCTCGCGATCTATTGATAACATCTTAGGCATGTCCGTGTACAATTAGGTCCACTCATTAAATTTTCCGGCTTGAAGTAAAACGGGGAAGAATCCGGTTGAAAGAAAGAAAAGAATTATCTGGAACACCCCATACATCCTGCTTTCATGATTAGTGCGCAAAATGATAAGCCGGAGAAAATAATCCGTAATTAATCAAGAGTCATATAACCATGAAAATATAATTCGGTGTATTTTCCCTATCGATAGAAAGTCCGCTTTCCAACGCGCGCTTTGAAGTGATACGTTCGATCGCGCTGTGTCTACAGGAAGAGATATCGTAGCAACGTGTCTTTTCTGAGAGAGTTGATTGCCACAGTTCATAAACTCTCGAAAATAAACTCGTGACACGTTGGACCAAGTTCCAATTATGTACATCGAATGAATCAGAATATTTGGCACGAGTTCGAGCGGCAGATTCGGTGAAAAATGGCCCTGCTTACCCCGAAACGTGCACGTTTCGCTTGAATCCGTGGCAAACACGTAAGCAGTCTTTCACGTGCGTCATCGTGACAAAACATTCAGGTTGATCGATTTCAAGGGGCGACCGGCCGGCTGGCCGGAAGTTTTCGTAGGGTGCACTTTTGACGGAAGTACCCGTCATGATACCCGAAATCAATTTTTCTCTGTGTGACGTCAACAGCCCATTTTTAGAATTCCGATGTAGCTAATGGAGCTTTGGCTTTACCGCAAAGAGCTTCTCCCAAAAGAGAGTCGAAGCGAGATTAAACGTAAAAACACAAAAGTCGGAAAACCGATCTCGCGTTCTCGATTATACGAATCTCTTTAATACTTGACACGCGCGCGCGACATATCCCGAGGGGAGACGGAGTTGGCAGAAATCTAATTTGCAAATTCTCCGTTATTGCTTTTTTAATAACTTTGCAACTTAATGACGTTTCCCCCAAAAATACCTTCCGTTAGAAACTTTTTGTCTCACTGCATGTTTACCATGCATGCCATTACGCGAAATAATATATTCACCCCTGCGCACACGTGCAGCTGCAGCAATGCAAGACAACGCGACCTCACTCTGAATTTGCAACTGGTCACGAATATTTATTGAGAATTAACTTCACAAATCAAACAACTCATTTTCCGTTATTTGGATTTAAGGCCAGTTTCCCAAACGTTGGTTAACTGTTAACTAGAATTCAATCAATTCCCTATCTTTTTCTATCTTATTATCTAAGAAGAGACCGAGGATCAAGTAACTTTTGGTTAGCAGTTAATCGACGTTTGTGAAACTGGCCCTTGATCGACGGAGCGTCGTTTCTCTTCCACGAGAAGTTTTGAAAAATTACATAACGCATATAAAGCTACGAAGTTTTGTACAATTATTTCGTAATTATTGTAATTTTATGTAAATTACTGTAAAGTGCCGTGGAAATAATTTTGGAGTGCTCGTCGATGCTCCGAATCTTATTCCCCCGTTTTCTTCGCGTCCCAGTAATCCCCCAAGAAATTGCATTAGTCTTTCTCACGGGACGATCGATCCGCGTTTTATTTGCGAGGCTGGCCGAGAAAAAGTCAGCTTTTTCAATAATTTTCCCTTTGAAGCAAATAGGTCGGGATCAATAGGCGCTGCTACAGGGGCAGGAAATGAAAAGGGCAACTGTATAGGCACCTCTCCAGCGTTTTAATTTACGATCTCCGCGGTTGCGGCGACTTCTTTTCCTTCCCAGGTAACCGCAGAAGAGGAAGCGCTCGCCTTTGCGAAAGGGGCGCGCTCGCGGAGGCCATCCGGCCATCGAGGCGCTTTATCGTGCCCCGTGAAATGAGATATGAGGGGGAGAATGTTTATTCGCGGTTTTCTCTCCCTCTCGTTCCGCGCCGCGCGCGAGAACGGCGATAAAAGGTGGAGGCTCATTCCCCTAATTGGAACGCGCGCCAGTTTCGCTTCCGAGGTAACAGGTGGTGCCTATACATGCCCACTTATTCGCGCGACGTTCTATGTAGACGCGGGGGAGAAAAAAATTTGCCGCGTCATTTTTTCCCCCAAAAATAATGTTCCACGTCCTCCCGGCCACGCAGATCTCTTGTCTCCCGTGAGCAGAGCACTGTCGCGGATTTCATATCTACACCCTCGGAAAGGATTTCTGTTACCGAGACAAAAATATTCTTGGCACATTTATATTTCTCACAACTTCATTTAATATAAAAATAAGATAATATCAAAATAAAATCAATAATTCTTAGTCTCCTCTATCGAATTAAAAAGGTTGACTCGCTATGTCGAGACAGGAGTAACTTTACATATTCTTGCGTTTAGAATAAATTTCCCCTCCATCTTACAACGCACGAAGTTGACACCACGATATTCGACAAAAGACGATACATACTATCATTTTATTCTAGATTTTACAATTTTTCATGTAAGATTAAAATGTTCCTTTCTCTTTGATAAATATGATTGGTGCTATATCGATCCTATTTTGATACATTCTATTATGATACATTCAAGTGTAATAGCATTGGATATGGAAATTTTTTCTGTGGGTGTAATATCGTGAAATTAATCACGTTTCGTCATTACCGCGTAAGCGAGGGGTAAATCGCTGGCCAATATTATGTACCCCAATAGTCTACTAATGCCCGGGCATCACTTTATCTTATTATCATATTTATCTTGTTTTACCTTATCTTTACAATGCCCCAAAAATGCCTAGTAATGACGCAAATCTACACCACAATGCCCCCAGCGGATTACCCCTTGCAAGTAAGGGCCAGAGCAGAATAACTGTCTTGTATTCTTAAAAGACAGTTCTTGTGCGTTACTCGAAGACAAAGATTTAAAACACAAAACATCGTCTTAAAAGTACAAGACAGCCATTCTGCGCAGGTCCTAAGCGCGATAAACCATTTTCTTCGAATACATATTAACAATATGTAACCGAGCGATATTTGCGTA